TCTGCTCCTTCTTCTCGTTTGGTTTTTTGCGCTGCCCGTTCTCTTTCACTGTCTGCAACAGTCCTTCTGATTTTGCGTCTTTTACTGTTTTTCGAGCTGGAACTTGTTGACGGTTTCTTGGGAGAAAGGAGGGCTGTAGATTTTGAAGGGGAATTTGGAATACTTGTTCATAACCAACTGTTCATCAACTTTGATTGACCTCAAAATCAGTATAAAAGCAGGGTTGTAAAGTTTTTTTTTTAGTTTGTTGGTGTATATCATCCAAAAAAGCTGATGCTTTAAAACCGGTTGGAACTTTATCAACGTAAATTTCTTCATTACCTTTATTTATTTCGACTCGCGCTGCTTTTTAGATAAATTCAAGAAATTTTTTCGTCCGCTTAAGTTTGTGTTCGTCCATGAGCTGTAATTGTAACAGGATACGTTCAGTGGATAATGCGTCACTAAGCTCAGCATTTATTTCCATCTCGTTTCCTTCATCATCATCTTCAGTGAGAAGGAGAGCTTGATTTTGTGGATTGGTTTCTGCTTTGGTAACTATAGGTGATTCAGGGGTTCGGGGTATGACTGGCGTAGCTGGTGTTGTTGTTGCTGCTGTTCTTGTTGATTCATTCAGGCTCAAACGGTTCAAATATGATAGTTGCGGTTTCTTGTGTTTGATGGAGTTGACAAGCAAAACCTTTGCTGCATGTGGTTGATCTCTGATACACATATGCTTCGGAATTTGAACAAATTCTTCTGCTGCCATTTCTATGCTGTCAAATACTTGAAGCAAAAATAAAGTATGTCTGATTAGATAAAATCCTTGTTTGCTTAGTAAAATAGCTGGTTTTTTTTCAAGACTCGTTTTTAGATTTATTAAAATTTTGTATGCTCTTTCGAATTTAATGCGGTTTGGGATACTGAAAGGCACATTACCGTTGACTACATTGAGCAAGCATTCACAAACAACTGATATTTTTTGAGTATTTGATGTTTTTTTCTAATGAAGCCGCGTAGTTGAATTGGGTTCAACTGTACCATCGCGTTCATTTGTGATGGGTGTCACACCTCTGCCTTATCTAATGGTAATTAGAAAATTGACGGACCAGGAGGTAGTATGTTTGAACAGTATCTGAGACAGTCTGATGTTCGGGATCTAAATATATTAATAGATGTCCGAAGCTGTCCTTTGTAGCCAGTTTATACGACTTTCGTAAAAATTTAGGTGCATTGAGTTGCCTTCCGAGGTGATCAAGATCAAGTTGCTGAATATCACGAGGGAATTTGAATAAAATTACGTGAGATGTGTTCAAATCAATAGTTCGTCACCATCGGCTTTGTTGGAATAACTTATGTTTAACATAAATGACACCTAAGCCCAAGTTCTTCCTGCTGTTGCTAATTTAACGAAATCTTTATCATTTTATATTTCTTCGCATGAGTCATCAAACACTAACAGAATGTTTTCAATGTTTCTCAAACGATCGAATCCATCAAACTTTACAAATTCTTTTTGAATTCTGCGAGCGTTTAACTCGTCCATAACTAAAAAAAATAATCTCTCAAATTTGGGATAAAAAGTTCTTCCTGTCAATAGCTTGAAAATCAACTCTGTTTTTCCGGATCCCGACGGTGCTACAACTGCCATAAACAGTCTTGTCGGCGTATCAATAATTTTATTCATATGCTTGGGTTTGGTAGCACGTACCCAACTAAACCAGACAAAATTGAAAACCAAACTGACGTTTCTTCACAGCTTATTTTCGTCCAAGGAAAATTATAGATACAAAGTAAGTAAAAGATTTTTTTTCATCAGTGTTTGTTTGATCATAATTCAAATCGGTAACTATAGTCGTATCAGGCCCATCAATAGCTAATTCAGACATTCAGCCGTTCAATTTATTTTCTCTATCTGGTTCCCTCTGACTCTCTATCTATAACACTCGTTTCTTGATGAGCAAGAAATGTGTTTTTGTCATAAAATATGTATTATCTATACTTCTGAACAATAAAAAAAATCTTGTATCGAGTACAAATTGTAAAGTCAATAGTTATGTCATTGTCATTGCCATGCATTTCCACAACATAAATGGCTGGCACATATTCAGTTTTTGCATGAAATACAACTTTCTTTACAGAGTTCTCTTTTACTAATTTCTGAACTTCCTCAGGTAGGTCACTGCTGTGAAGATCCATTTGAATTCCGAGTTGACGTTTGGGCACTAACACTAGCCTGGGAAGACATACTCCTCGTTTGTTGGCTAACATTTTGACAATCCTTGTATCGTTGAAAATAGATGAATTGGTCAATCACTGAAAAAAAATTTCTTAAAATAGTCAATTCGTCTCCTGATAGAGTAATTTGTATTTCCGCAGCACAACTTGACCTCGGCAAATATTTGTTCTGTTCTGGTCACAGTTAATTTGATATCACTCTGGTGTCATCCAAGCCAATAATACTAAATTTGGAGATAGGTACGTCTCCGCTTTTGCTAGTCTTTCGTTGTAGCTAACTTTTCAGCTAATCAAAAAAGACCTTGTTTTTTTTTCAGGGCATAAAGATTTCTGGAGTTGTAATGATGTAAATGTCTATTGCAAGATGGATAATTCTTGATATGTAAGTTTTCAATTCTCGGGCAACCCAAGTCATCAAGATTCACAACTTCTGGATCCAAGTACTTTGCAAGAAGTTCAGCCTTCTCTTTCACTCTGGCGTAAAATACAGCGTTAGGATTTCTTAGAACAAAACTTTGAATAATCTGATTGAGGTTTAAATATAAATAATCTCCGCTTTCCCAGTGAATTCCGTGCAAGTAATTTGTTAACAAGTTGTACGCTTTTTGTTCAGCTTTAGGTAGTGAGTTGAAAAGGACTGGAGGTAGAAAAATAAGAGAGTCGCTATAATCAGAAGTCGTAATGACTTATTCTTTAAATATAAAGGAACTTTTTTATAGCGAAATCTTTCCAAATCTATCACGACTGATCGTTCACTCAACATTCTAATAATTGATTGGAGTTCTGGTCTGGTTAGTTTGCTGAATAAACAAAGTAATACCGCTCAAACGACCAATCAGTCTGCTGTTACACTTCCAGGGTAGCATATAGCAGTAAGTGGGACCTGTGTTGTAAACTTCGTCAACAAAACCTGCAGCATCATGTAAAATTGCATGCAGACGTAATATTTTTGAATCTTTTGAATATTTGTCAAAGGAAGAGTCGTCTATGCCAATAAGACCTCCATATGCTCTAAGTTTAATGGCTACGTCATAATTCATAGAAAAGAAAAACAGAACATGCAGTCAGAAAATAATTTCGACGGTCAGAATTCTCCGGATAGGTTTTTTCCACAGTCAAAAAAATCGCATGAATGATTTCCAAGTCAGTTGAGGTAACTACGTTTTTCCAATTTCATTTTTTCTTTTCTTTCCAACACTATTTGAACCTGCTGAATTTCAAAACAGTGGAAGTAAAAGTAACCTGTTAGCTACCAAACTTTCAATTATTTTTAAATCTGCTCTTTTGTTCAATCAGCTTAGTGTCAAAGTCGAACAAGAAGTTAAATAGGTTTTCAGAAGTAGCATTCGACAAACCAATCAATTTTACAAGTTTTTGTTTCCAAAGTTCCAAATCAAACTAAAAATTTCTAGACTGGTTGAAAATAACACGCAGCAAAAAGAAAAATTTCATCTGTCAGTGTTTTCCAAATAAGCGCATTTTAAACTCAGGAAAAATTTAGGGAACGTTTTAAAAGTATCAGCTTCCAAAACAAGTTCTTCCAAAAGCTTTTAAATGACGAACAATTTCATGCGATTTAAATTTTTTGATGCCATCCTACACGGAAAATTTTTTATCCAGTTTGGCGGTTTAGTACTCCTCAATATCCCCATTGACGAGGTACATGTCCGGTTTCAGGCTGGGCCTTATCCCGACGTTCAGGTGGTGAAGGAGCTCTGGATCAAGCCGCGTCAGTGGGCCAAGGGGAAACCTCTTCCCCGGACTATTGTCCCTGGGTCGCCTGAGTGGGAACTACCCGCTGAGCCACTTAGAGACGTAGTCGCCCTCTGTTTCTGGATTGAGACCAGGGCTTCTGATCTGCCGGGGCTAATGGACAGACCAGCAGTTTGACTCTATTCCCACCTGTTCTTATAAAGAAGAGTTTTTTTTTACCACACTTTAGTTTTTTAGTCCCTTTCATTATCATCCCCTTTATTTATTATGATTATGCATCATTCCGCATCATCAAATTTCGGGTAAGTTTATACGTTTTATACCTATTAATCCACAATATAACGCGCGCAGTAAAATTTGAACTATCAAAGTCAAGGGAAAACATGCACAAAACAAAACTTAATTACATTCCCATTTCCATAAAGTGGCTTGAAGATGACTAATTTTAACCCGCCTTAAAACATGTGTGCCCGAATAAGTAGGAGTTTTAACCCCTTTGGGGGTTAAAAGTGGTCATTGCAACGGCACACCGAAAAAAAAGGGGGATTAAAAGTGGTCATTTTCCTAGCCACTTTTACTATACTACTTCGTTACCTTTACACTTTTACGTGGACTTTTCCTAGCCACTTTTACTATACTACTTTCGTTACCTTTACACTTTTACGAAAATTGAGCGTGAAAAAACTTAGACTTGCTCCTAAAAAACCAAATAAAAATCACTTAGACCAATACAACAGTACTCACTACAATCATTACTCTAAATAAAACTAACCATTTTGAAAAATCCTAACTAAACGGTAAATTTTGTATTCCGCTGGGAACTATAACAATTAAAATCCACTACTGAAACTAGGAGCCGCTCGCATGTTTGGCCGCGTTTCCACTTCCTTAATTGGAGAGCGTTTTCTACCTTCCTTTTAAGAAAAGAATTTGAATTGAACTTGAAAAACTCATCAAACCACTGAAAGTAAAATTTCGGACAAAAATAATCAATACAGCCTATATAAGGGTCTTCAGCAAGATCTGTACTAATCAATCGCTCAAAAAATTACTATCTTAGAAAAACTAACAGGGTTTCTTTCACCAAACGCCGACATTCGTCCTCCACTTCCGCCGCCCACACTAGTCAGGTGTGAAGTGGTGTTTTGATTCTGGTAGAAAACGGCGGCGGACTCTCTGTGGTTATCACGTGCCCCCCCAATATTGTGCTGACTGGCATTAAATGGAAATTGCATCTGTGAGTTATTCGTCGTCTTATCGCCACCCGAAGCTCCTCCTCCTGAGTGGTTACTTTGATTTGGATTATTTGCAACAAGCGTCTCCTGCTTCAAATTAGTCATGCCCATTCCTCCTCCATCACCCGAGCAGAAAGAGGAATTTGATGAGTTGTTTTTAGACCCCGTTTGTCCTTTCAGAGATTTAATGTTTAACGTGCCCAGGCACTGAGTAAGGAGGGAGTTAATGAGTAATAACTTAGTGTGATCGCTGCTTCCCATGTTCTGGAACACAGATTTGTTGAGGCTGAGGGATATTTCGATCTGGTCGTCCTCTTCTTCGAACGCCGGAAGAGTCCCCCCCATTTGATTGAACATCTGTCCCAGGCTGAAAGAAGGCGCTAAGTCAGAGCTAGTTGAGGAGTTTATGTTAGTGTTACTGCTACAGTTTAACGCTGTATCCGCCATTTCACATCTAAAAAAAACAGACAAAAAAATATTTAAAATAAGCAAGAAAGTCAGGTTTCGAACCGGGCCGTCTGTTGAAGTACTGCCAGATATGATTAAATTTCAAAACCAGTCATTGATATAAAAAAGTTCAACCTCAAAGATTATCAAAACTGTTAGATTAGGAAGGATCACTGTTTCCCTGTTTAGAATTGGAAGAGGAAACTTGAGCGTCTTCGGTTTGTTTGAAATAGTTTTTTTTGAAATTCTTTGCGTTCTTGTTCTTCTGCTTGTGACCCCTGCAACCGCCGTGGCAGTTCTCACCAACATCACCCGCATCACTCGACTCAGAAGAACTCTCGCCAAATTCACGAGGCCTGTCGTACACACAGCAGCCTTAACAGAAATCTAATTTTTTTCTTATTTCGCACAAGATTTTTCGACATTAATTTTACTTTAAAATTCAGTGTTTTAAACAAAAAATCTGATTTCAAATTTTATACGGGTTTTAATCATACATCCCTATCAGTCGCGAAGAGGATTGTTGTAGCCTTTTCAATCGAGATAGCATAGTGGTAAGTAAGGCGTTCACTTTGATAACGTTGTCTATTCGATCCCATGCCATAGCAAGGATCGTGTGTGCGGACGAGTTCTAACTTGACCTCTAGCTTCATGTCTACCACAGCCTGACCGGTTTCGGCTGCAATAGTGGTACCACGTGAAAATTCTAGACGCATAAAAAAAAACCCTGAGTTGCAAAAAAGCTTCGCTAAACATAACAGTCTGGAATGTGCAGAGAAAATACAAATCGACTATCCTTCGACGGGAATGTTAAGCCCTACTGAAACTCCACTGCGATTCGCAGGAATTACAAAAAAATTCAGACTATATAAAAAATCCCTTGAAGCAGTTTTTTGTGGATGGATTTATAGTGATCCAAAACAGAGACAAAGATCAAAAGCTTTTTAGAATTTTTCGGCTTTTCTCTCGGTTCGATTGCAGAACGACTGGAACCTCATAAATGATTTTCGCAAGCCAGAGTGAGCAATAATTTTTGCGCCACTGCAAGCTCGAAATAATCTGCTTAATTCCGCATAAATTTTGAGATAAATGAAAAAACATCCAACCAGTTTTAATCTAGGGTAGTTTTCTTTGGAAACATAGATGACGGCCTCATAGAAATAAAATTCTTCAGGCTGGGTAAACTTTTTTAAATGAAAAAAGATTAATTTCTCTGGCTTATCTAAGCACTTTTTTCAGACTCGACACATTTACATGTGAACTTTGAGCCAGAGGTGACTCTTGAAGGACCATTAGTGCCTTAGATGTTCTGAGCATCAATGAAAGAGGAGATAGATCACCCAAAATCTTATAAAAGCACTTCGTTTAAAGTTAGAACGTAAAGTTTGAAAAATTTGACTCGCGATTCTTGTAATCGAACCAATAAATGCTGCGACACACAAAAAGCGTAATTGAGAGATTTTTGTACGTTTTTGACAGTGGGCGTAAATGGAGGCCGGGCTTTACCGAAAAGTCTCGCATTAAAACAAATGGCGCATTTAAAACGCTTTTGAAGTGAATTTGAAAATGAACTAGCCAAAAACTTCAAGTACTAAAATCGGGTATACAAGAAATATACATTCTTTTGTGTTCATAATAGTATTTGGACGCTAGCAAAACTGTCAAATCCGAGTCAATCCGTTGGCGTTTTTGCTGTTCTCACAAATGATACGTCAGCTGTAATTGTTTCAACCGTGGTGGCGACAGCAACAGTGGGAGTAACACTTTTCCTCAAAATTTTCTCAGTAACACTATTTAATTTAGTGTCTGCTTTTCTTTTAACAATTTCCGATGAATTTGTCGCAACCCTTTCCGATGAAGTGGTCGTTTTTGGTAACTTTTGTTGGTATAACTAAATCGGATGTCTTTTGTGCAAATACTCTAAATGGGGCCAAGCTATTGTCTTTTATATCAATTTGGTAAATCTTAACTTAAAATTGTTTTACATTAAGTAAACCTAATATTCATCTATACTCAAAATAAATCTCCCATTTCGTGAAATATTTTATGTTCTTTCTCTTTTTATTGAGATGCCGTCACTGAACCAAAATGGAAGTGTTGCATGTCTTGAGTGGGGCAGATATTACGCACGTCAAAATACATCAAAACATCATAAAATGTTTTAAAATTATTGAGGTATGGTTCAGAGGTCAACGGAATCAGTCAGGGTTGGCAAAATGTAAGTTAAAAACAAAAATAACAAACTAACTGTTATTTATCGAAAAAACATGTTATTTTTGTTAAATTGCTAATTAAATTAACATATCAACAAGAGTTGAGTTTCTTGAACAGAAACGCCAACTCTCCGGCATTCTCAACGCGAGTTGAGCACGAAGCTTCCCATACGTCAGGTGAGATTTTTCGCTCTGTAGTTTGTCAAGTGAAACTGCAATTGGTTTGAAAATTTTTTTTTCATCCGTTCGGGATTCGCTACAATCGTTTCGGAACAAGCATGCAGTATAGTTGCGTTGTGTTTTTCTAAGAATTACTAATATTTCTAAGAAATAGCTAACATCACTGTTAGAAATTATAAATAACACTAAGTTAAATTCAATGTTAAATAACAATGTTAAATAACATGCCAACCCTGGAATCAGTGATTTAAAAACAAAACTAAGCCGGTAAAAAATGTGAGCAAGATCGAAGCGCAGCAGTCAAGCATAAGGTTTAATTGATCAACTGAATTGCAATTTGCCTGAATCTATTTCAGTTCTTGTAAAAAATAAACGGATTAAATAAAAGTCATAATCGTAGTAGCTTACGTTCCTCCTCGTTAAAATAAAATCCAACAGTTGAAGAGCTGGATCAAGAACTTGAAAAGCTTATTCGAAGTAAAGTACCGATTGTCCAGGCAGATTTTAATATAAATACTCTCAAGTTCAACAATCTACAACAAACTTATATTGCTACTGTAACATCTAATGGCTTCGATATTCCAAGTAAAAGTGAGACAATAATTAGTGAGTCATCTGAACCTTGCATACATCATATCATAGTTAGAAAAATAGATAGCCCTAATCTTGAAGTGCTTGATTTTCAATGCTTTTCGGATCATTAAATTATCTGTTTAAAAGCCAATCTCAATGGGGAAAGTTTTATAAAGCAATCAAATCGTCATTTGTCTTTTCTGATGAAGAAAAATGAATTGGATGACTTCCTGATTAAGCTGAAACGAAAATTTGAAATTTCAAATATTGCCAACGAAAATGATATTGATACTGCCTCTAAAATTTTTTTAAGGCCTTATTGAATTTATAAAGATGTTTGCCCCTCTGCAAAATCTACATCCAAATAAAAAGTCAAATGCTCCATGGTTTAAATAAAAGTTAAAAATTCTATTCTGCGGAGAAATGAATTGTAAAAAAAACTCGAAAACGTGATACGGAAAATTCGATTAAAGAAAGAAAACTTTAATAGAGAACGACCGAAGAAATTATTAAAGCAACAAAAAGAGACTATGTATCGGAGACTCGAGACATGTTCATAAAACTTTAAATGAAATAACAGGAAGAAAATCCGTATGTTGATGGTAGCAATGTGTCCGATTCTTCCTCAATATCAGACCTTTTCAATGAATTCTTCTTATCAATTGGATCTAATTTAGCTAAGCCTACATCTCAAGCAGAAGCAATCTGATATTGAAAATGCTACTAAATCAATGTACATTCTCAACTGTTCTTTCCAATAGGTCAAGTGTTTATAACAATCTTTTTTTAATTTCCTTAAAACTGGTGTTGAGTTATATGGGTTTAGTAATTGCGCGAAATCAGTGAAAACTGAACAATATGTGTAAAAATAAACATAAAGTGTAGTAAAAAAAAGTGAAAGAAAAAAGTTTTAGAAAAAGTGAAAAAAGTGTTCGAAAAAAGTGATAGAAAAAGAGTGATAGAAAAAAAAGATATATAAATGATATTAAAAAAGTGATATAAGAAAATATAAAGTGTAGTAAAGTGAAAGAAAAAAGTTTTGGAAAAAGTTATAGAAAAAAATGTTAGAAAAAAAAGATAGAGAAGTGTTAGAAAAAGGTGATAGAAAAAGAGTGATAGAATAAAGTGGTAGAAAAAAGTGATATAAAAAACTGACATTAAAAATTTGAAAACGGAAAATTGACATGAGAAAGTGATATCAAAAGTGATAAAGGAAAGCTGATGTAAAACGCAATACAAAAAAGTGATATTGAGAAAGTGATAAAAAATACATATAAAAAAGTGATAGAAAAAAGTGAAAGAAAAATTTGATATAAGAAAGTGATATGAAGAGTGATTGATACTAAAAATTGATGTGAAAAAGTGAGATGAAAAGTGATATGAAAAAGTGATACAAAAACAATAATAAAAAGTGATCGAGAAAAGTGGTGGAAAAAACTGAGAAAAAAAGTGATATGAAAAAATTGATATAAAAAGTGATAAATAAATGATTTTAAAAAAGTGATATAAAAAAGTTATAATAAAATAGATTTAAAAAAGTGATATAAAAGTGATTTAAAAAGTGATATAAAAAATGATGAAAAAATATATCAAAAAGTGATATGAAAAAAAGGATATCAGACGTGATAAAAAAAAACGATATTAAAAAGTGATATCAAAAAATGATTAAAAAAAGATACTAAAATGTGATATTGAAGTGAAATAAAATGATAAAAAATGAGATACAAAGCGAAAAAAATGTATAAAAAAGATATAAAATGATATGAAGTGTAGTAAAAAAAGTGATTAAAAAAGTTAGAAAAAAGTGATAGAAAAAAGTTATAAAAATCTTTGCATGAGCTCAGTTCACTATTTTTGCATGTAACTAAGTAGCCTCAGATAGTAACGACTTTGTCGAACCGATGTTAATGGACCACACATTGAACTGGCTTTGGTAGAGACGGTTAAAAAGCATGTGAAGCTGTGTTTAGACGCTAGCCAGTCGTTTTAGGATCTAGCTTTATTTTCCGTCGGTATGTACTTCCGGGCGAATGTTACAAAAGAAAGTGAGGGAAGAAAAGATATCCATTTTATCAGGTCTTCACTTTAAATAACAACTAGCGAGTAACGCACCACCGGTGCTTCGAACTTTTGACAACTCAGGAAAAACCGCATATAGTGGAAACCAAATCTGCAGGCTTTTAGTGTACTCTGACTGCACCCAATTACATGGTAAGGAAAAAAATTCGTTAGGTTTTCTGAAACTTATCGGAAAAATCACAAAAAAATCGCATCTCCAAAACTACAAGAACTTGAGCAGTCATATTTGTAGGCAAGATTCGCAACCCCTTAGAGTACCCTGAAATTACACACCTACAGGATAAGGCATTTCAAATTTTGAAAACAAAATAATTTAAGTTTTCTGAGTTTTTTTTGAAAAATCGCAAAAAACCTCATATCTCGAAAACAGGGATTTGAGCAGTCAAAATTGAAGACAAGACTCGCAACTCCTGAGAGTACCCTATCAGCACCCAACTACAAGGTAAAGATTTACAAACTATAATAATTTAGGTTTTTTGAAAACTTTTTGAAACAAAATCACAAAAACATCATATCTCGAAAACTACAAAAATTTGAGAAGTCATAACTGGAGGCAAGGTTTGCAACCCCTGAGAGTACTCTGATAACTCTCAACTACAGGGTTTGGAAATTCAAATTTTGAAGAAAAAAAATTCGTAAAGTTTTTTGAAATTTTTTTGGAAAATCACAATACATCATATCTCGAAAACTACAAGGACTTGAGCAGTCATATTTGGAGGCAAGGTTCGGAACTTATGAGAGTACCCTGACAGCACCCGACTAAAGGGTAAGGCATTTCAAATTTTGAAATCAAAAACTATTTCCAGTTTTTTGAAAATTTTAGTTCTAATTTAGAAACAAAAAGATATTAAAAAAAAAAACAGAAAAAAGATCAAGAAGGATTGAAAAAGAAATCGAAAAAAGGATTGAAGAAATTTAAGAAAAAAGAGATTCGAAAACATGTATAAAAAAAAGAAAGAAAGATCAAAAAGAAGCATAGAAAAAAATTGAAAAATAAGGAACGAAAAAAAAGATAGAAAAAAAGAGAAAAAGGATCGAAAAAGAAGGAACGGAAAGATTGAAAAAAAAAAGATTGAGAAAAAGATCGATAACGAAGGATCAAAAAGACAAAAAAAAATAGAAACGCAGATAAAGATAGAGAAAGAACTGGAGACAAACGTTTGACAGAAGTAATATTTTGAACTGAATCGTCGAAACCAAATTGGAAGTAAAAAATTAGGAGACGGGTTGACAGACAATCAAATTAAATGAAAAAGCAGGCATACAGACAGACAGACTTAATTTTGCCTCGAAAAAAATGACTGAAAAATTATTGACCTTGAGGAAAACTAATTGAAAATTTTCTTAAGCATTGCAATATATGATATAGCTTAAACATGAAAAAATTCTTTCGTTAAACATGCAAAATTATTATGCTTAAACATGGGAGATAGCTGTCACTCGCATTCAAATATAGTATAGATAGATAGATAGATAGATTTATTTCAGCAATCTGCGTATTACTTCAACAGGTTACGCAACGCTATTGCTGGCGCGATACTGGTGCAAGTCAAACTGATTGTCTGTCATCTCATTTTCTGTTTCATCAATTTTTAAAAAACGCGCAGTTGTTTGATTTTGATGATTTATACCGATTTCTTGATATTAAGTTTTTTTTAATAGAAAAAACTATTTTTCTAGAATTTATGTTCAGCGCGATGCTTCGAGATCTCCAGTTAACTGGAAATTTCTTAGAACAGATATAACTCCGTGAAACTGCGCCATGATAGTATTTTAAAAGTCAATTTTGAACAGTTGAAAGACGCACATTTGGAGCTCTTTTTGCCTAAATTCTCATTGTCGCCCATCGTGGCGTCATCACACTATTATCTTAGAAAAACAAACAGGGTTTTTTTCCCCAAACGCCGACATTCGTCCTCCACTTCCGCCGCCCACACTCGTCAGGTGTGAAGTGGTGTTTTGATTCTGGTAGAAAACGGCGGCGGACTCTCTGTGGTTATCACGTGCCCCCCCCCCCAATATTGTGCTGACTGGCATTAAATGGAAATTGCATCTGTGAGTTATCCGTCGCCTTATCGCCACCCGAAGCTCCTCCTCCTGAGTGGTTACTTTGATTTGGATTATTTGCAACAAGCGTCTCCTGCTTCAAATTAGTCAGGCCCATTCCTCCTCCATCACCCGAGCAGAAAGAGGAATTTGATGAGTTGTTTTTAGACCCCGTTTGTCCTTTCAGAGATTTAATGTTTAACGTGCCCAGGCACTGAGTGAGGAGGGAGTTAATGAGTAAGAACTTAGTGTGATCGCTGCTTCCCATGTTCTGGAACACAGATTTGTTAAGGCTGAGGGATATTTCGATCTGTTCGTCCTCTTCTTCGAACGCCGGAAGAGTCCCCCCCCATTTGATTGAGCATCTGTCCCAGGATGAAAGAAGGCGCTAAGTCAGAGCTAGTTGAGGAGTTTATGTTAGTGTTACTGCTACAGTTTAACGCTGTATCCGCCATTTCACATCTAAAAAAAAGACAAAAAAAATATTTAAAATAAGCAAGAAAGTCAGGTTTTGAACCGGGCCGTCTGTTGAAGTACTACTAGTTAAAATTAAATTTCAAAACCAGTCATTGATATAAAAAAATTTCAACCTCAAAGATTATCAAAACTGTTAGATTAGGAAGGATCACTGTTTCCCTGTTTACAATTGGAAGACGAAACTTGAGCGTCTTTGGTTTGTTTGAAATAGTTTTTATTAAAATTCTTTGCGTTCTTGTTCTTCTGCTTGTGACCCCTGCAACCGCCGTGGCAGTTCTCACCAACATCACCCGCATCACTCGACTCAGAAGAACTCTCGCCAAATTCATGAGGCCTGTCGTACACACAGCAATCTAAACAGAAATCTAATTTTTTCTTATTTCGCACAAGATTTTTCGACATTAATTTTACTTTAAAATTCAGTGTTTTAAACAGAAAATCTGATTTCAAATCTTATACAGCTTTTAACGATACATCCCTATCAGTCGCGAAGGGGATTGTTGTAGCCTTTTCAATCGAGATAGCATAGTGGTAAGTAAGGCGTTCACTTTGATGCCGTTGTGTATTCGATCCCATGCCATAGCAAGGATCGTGTGTGCGGACGAGTTCTAACTTGACCTCTAGCTTCATGTCTACCACAGCCTGACCGGTTTCGGCTGCAATAGTGGTACCACGTGAAAATTCTAGACGCATAAAAAACAACCTTGACTTGCAAAAAGCTTCGCTAAACATAACATTCTGGAATGTGCAGAGATAATACAAATCGACTATCCTTCAAAGGGAATGTTAAGCCCTACTGAAACTCCACTGCGATTCACAGGAATTACAAAAAAATTCAGACTATATAAAAAATCCCGTGACGCAGTTTTTTGTGGATGGATTTATATTGATCCAAAACAGAGACAAAGATCAAAAGCTTTTTAGAATTTTTCGGCTTTTCTCTCGGTTCGATTGCAGCACGACTGGAACCTCATAAATGATTTTCGCAAGCCAGAGCGAGCAATAATTTTTGCGCCACTGCAAGCTCGAAATAATCTGCTTAATTCCGCATAAATTTTGAGATAAATGAAAAAACATCCAACCAGTTTAATCTAGGGTAGTTTTCTTTGGAAATATAGATGACGGCCTCATAGAAATAAAATTCTTCAGGCTGGGTAAACTTTTTTAAATGAAAAAGAATTAATTTCTCTGGCTTATCTAAGCACTTTTTTCAGACTCGACACATTTACATGTGAACTTTGAGCCAGAGGTGACTCTTGAAGGACCATTAGTGCCTTAGATGTTCTGAGCATCAATGAAAGAGGAGATAGATCACCCAAAATCTTAAAAAAGCACTTCATTTAAAGTTAGAACGTAAAGTTTGAAAAATTTGACTCGCGATTCTTGTAATCGAACCAATAAATGCTGCGACACACAAAAAGCGTAATTAAGAGATTTTTGTACGTTTTTGACAGTGGGCAAAAATGGAGGCCGGGCTTTACCGAAACGTTTCGCATTAAAACAAATGGCGCATTTAAAACGCTTTTGAAGTGAATTTGAACATAAACTAGCCAAAAACTTCAAGTACTAAAATCGGGTATACAAGAAATATACATTCTTTTGTGTTCATAATAGTATTTGGACGCTAGCAAAACTGTCAAATCCGAGTCAATCCGTTGGCGTTTTTGCTGTTCTCACAAATGATACGTCAGCTGTAATTGTTTCAACTGTGGTGGCGACAGCAATAGTGGGAGTAACACTTTTTCTCAAATTTTTCTCAGCAACACTATTTAGTTTAGTGTCTGCTTTTCTTTTAACAATTTCCGATAAATTTTTGGTAACTTTTGTTGGTATAACTAAATCGGATGTCTTTTGTGCAAATACTCTAAATGGGGCCAAGCTATTGTCTTTTATATCAATTTGGTAAATCTTAACTTAAAATTGTTTTACATTGAGTACTACTATTCATCAAATCTCCCATTTCGTGAAATATTTTAAGTTCTTTCTCTTTTTATTGAGATGCCGTCACTGAACCAAAACGGAAGTGTTGCATGTCTATTACGCACGTCAAAATACATCAAAACATCATAAAATGTTTCAAAATTATTGAGGTAAGGTTCAGAGGTCAACGGAATCAGTGATTTAGAAACAAAACTAAGCCGGTAAAAAATGTGAGCAAGATCGAAGCGCAGCAGTCAAGCATAAGGTTTAATTGATCAACTGAATTGCAATTTGCCTGAATCTATTTCAGTCCTTGTAAGCAGGGAGTTAATGAGTAATAACTTAGTGTGATCGCTGCTTCCCATGTTCTGGAACACAGATTTGTTGAGGCTGAGGGATATTTCGATCTGGTCGTCCTCTTCTTCGAACGCCGGAAGAGTCCCCCCCCCATTTGATTGAACATCTGTCCCAGGCTGAAAGAAGGCGCTAAGTCAGAGCTAGTTGAGGAGTTTATGTTAGTGTTACTGCTACAGTTTAACGCTGTATCCGCCATTTCACATCTAAAAAAAAACAGACAAAAAAATACTTTAAATAAGCAAGAAAGTCAGTTTTCGAACCGGGCCGTCTGTTGAAGTACTACCAGATATAATCAAATTTCAAAACCAGTCATTGATATGAAAAAGTTCAACCTTAAAGATTATCAAAACTGTTAGATTAGGAAGGATCACTGTTTCCCTGTTTAGAATTGGAAGAGGAAACTTTAGCCTCTTTGGTTTGTTTGAAATAGTTTTTGATTGAAACTCTTTGCGTTCTTGTTCTTCTGCTTGTGACCCCTGCAACCGCCGTGGCAGTTCTCACCAACATCACCCGCATCACTCGACTCAGAAGAACTTTCGCCAAATTCACGAGGCCTGTCGTACACACAGCAGCCTAAACAGAAATCTAATTTTTTTCTTATTTCGCACAAGATTTTTCGACATTAATTTTACTTTAAAATTCAGTGTTTTAAACAAAAACTCTGATTTCAAATTTTATACGGGTTTTAATCATACATCCCTATCAGTCGCGAAGCGGATTGTTGTAGCCTTTTCAATCGAGATAGCATAGTGGTAAGTAAGGCGTTCACTTTGATAACGTTGTCTATTCGATCCCATGCCATTGCATGGATCGTGTGTGCGGACGAGTTCTAACTTGATCTCTAGCTTCATGTCTACCACAGCCTGACCGGTTTCGGCTGCAATAGTGGTACCACGTGAAAATTCTAGACGCATAAAAATCAACCCTGAGTTTCAAAAAAGCTTCGCTAAACATAACAGTCTGGAATGTGCAGAGATAATACAAATCGACTATCCTTCGACGGGAATGTTAAGCCCTACTGAAACTCCACTGCGATTCGCAGGAATTACAAAAAAATTCAGACTATATGAAAAATCCCGTGACTCAGTTTTTTGCGGATGGATTTCTATTGATCCAAAACAGACAAAGATCAAAAGCTTTTTAGAATTTTTCGGCTTTTCTCTCGGTTCGATTGCAGAACGACTGGAACCTCAAATGATTTTCGCAAGCCAGAGTGAGCAATAATTTTTGCGCCACTGCAAGCTCGAAATAATCTGCTTAATTCCGCATAAATTTTGAGATAAACGAAAAAACATCCAACCAGTTTTAATCTAGGGTAGTTTTCTTTGGAAACATAGATGACGGCCTCAAAGAAATAAAATTCTTCAGGCTGGGTAAACTTTTTTAAATGAAAAAAGATTAATTTCTCTGGCTTATCTAAGCACTTTTTTCAGACTCGACACATTTACATAGGAACTTTGAGCCAGAGGTGAGTCTTGAAGGACCATTAGTGCCTTAGATGTTCTGAGCATCAATGAAAGAGGAGATAGATCACCCAAAATCTTAAAAAAGCACTTCATTTAAAGTTAGAACGTAAAGTTTGAAAAATTTGACTCGCGATTCTTGTAATCGAACCAATAAATGCTGCGACACACAAAAAGCGTAATTAAGAGATTTTTGTACGTTTTTGACAGTGGGCAAAAATGGAGGCCGGGCTTTACCGAAACGTTTCGCATTAAAACAAATGGCGCATTTAAAACGCTTTTGAAGTGAATTTGAACATAAACTAGCCAAAAACTTCAAGTACTAAAATCGGGTATCCAAGAAATATACATTCTTTTGTGTTCATAATAGTATTTGGACGCTAGCAAAACTGTCAAATCCGAGTCAATCCGTTGGCGTTTTTGCTGTTCTCACAAATGATACGTCAGCTGTAATTGTTTCAACTGTGGTGGCGACAGCAATAGTGGGAGTAACACTTTTTCTCAAATTTTTCTCAGCAACACTATTTAGTTTAGTGTCTGCTTTTCTTTTAACAATTTCCGATAAATTTTTGGTAACTTTTGTTGGTATAACTAAATCGGATGTCTTTTCTGCAAATACTCTAAATGGGGCCAAGCTATTGTCTTTTATATCAATTTGGTAAATCTTAACTTAAAATTGTTTTACATTAAGTAAACCTACTATTCATCTATACTCAAAATAAATCTCCCATTTCGTGAAATATTTTAAGTTCATTCTCTTTTTATTGAGATGCCGTCACTGAACCAAAACGGAAGTGTTGCATGTCTTGAGTGGGGCAGATATTACGCACGTCAAAATGCATCAAAACATCATAAAATGTTTCAAAATTATTGAGGTAAGATTCAGAGGTCAACGGAATCAGTGATTTAAAACTAAAACTAAGCCGCTAAAAAATGTGAGCAAGATCGAAGCGCAGCAGTCAAGCATAAGGTTTAATTGATCAACTGAATTGCAATTTGCCTGAATCTATTTCAGTCCTTGTAAAAAATAAACGGATTAAATAAAAGTCATAATCATAGTAGCTTACGTTCCTCTTCGTTAAAATAAAATCCAACAGTTGAAGAGTTGGATCAAGAACTTGAAAAGCTTACTCGAAGTAAAGTACCGATTGTCCAGGCAGATTTTAATATACATACTCTCAAGTTCAACAATCTACAACAAACTTATATTGCTACTGTAACATCTAATGGCTTCGATATTCCAAGTAAAAGTGAGACAATAATTAGTGAGAAATCTGAACCTTGCATACATCATATCATAGTTAGAAATATAGATAGCTCTAATCTTGAAGTGCTTGATTTTGAATGCTTTTCGGATCATTAAATTATCTGTTTAAAAGCCAATCTCAATGGGGAAAGTTTTATAAAGCAATCAAATCGTCATTTGTCTTTTCTGATGAGGAAAAATGAATTGGATGACTTCCTGATCAAGCTGAAACAAAAACTTGAAATTTCAAATATTGCCAACGAAAATGATATTGATACTGCCTATAATAATTTTATTGAAGGCCTTATTGAATTTATAAAGATGTTTGCCCCTCTGCAAAATCTACATCCAAATAAAATCTACATCCAAATAAAAAGTCAAATGCTCCGTGGTTTAAATAAAAGTTAAAAATTCCATTCTGCGGAGAATTGAATTGTAAAAAAACTCGAAAACGTGATATGGAAAATTCGAGTAAAGAAAGAAATTATAAAAGCAACAAAAAGAGACTATGTATCGTAGACTCGAGACATGTTCATAAAACTTTAAATGAATTAACAGGAAGAAAATCCGTTTGTTGATGGTAGCAATGTGTCCGATTCTTCCTCAATATCAGACCTTTTCAATGAATTCTTCTTATCAATTGGATCTAATTTAGCTAAGCCTACATCTCAAGCAGAACCAATCTTTGATATTGAAAATGCTACTAAATCAATGTACATTCTCAACTGTTCTTTCCAAGAGGTCAAGTGTTTATAACAATCTTTTTTTAAATTCCTTAAAACTGGTGTTGAGTTATATGGGTTTAGTAATTGCGCGAAATCAGTGAAAACTGAACAATATGTGTAAAAATAAACAGTGTATTAAAAAAAGTGCAAGAAAAAAGTTTTAGAAAAAGTGATAGAAAAAAGTGATTGAAAAAGAGTGATAAAAAAAAGTGGTAGAGAAAAAAAAAGATATAAAAAAGTGATATGGAAAAAATGATATAAAAAGTGATAAATAAATGATATTAAAAAAGTGATATAAAAAAATATTAAGTGTAGTAAAGTGAAAGAAAAAAGTTTTGGAAAAAGTGATAGAAAAAAAGTTAGAAAAAAGTGATAGAAAAGTGTTAGAAAAAGAGTGATAGAAAAAATGATATAAAAAAAAGTGATATGAGAAAATTGATATAAAAAGTGATAAATGAATGATATTTAAAAAGTGATATAAAAAACTGACATTAAAAAATTGAAAACGGAAAACTGACATAAGAAAGGAAAGTGATATCAAAAGTGATATCGGAAAACTGATGTAAAACGCAATATAAAAAAGTGATATTAAAAAAGTGATAAAAAATACATATAAAAAAGTGATAGAAAAAAATGAAAGAAAAATTTGATATAAGAAAGTTATATGAAAAGTGATACTAAAAATCGATGTAAAAAAGTGAGATGAAAAGTGATATGAAAAAGTGATACAAAAACGTTAATAAAAAGTGATAGAGAAAAGTGGTAGAAAAAACTGAGAAAAAAATGATATCAAAAAAGTGATATGAAAAAATTGATATAAAAAGTGATAAATAAATGATTTTAAAAAAGTGATATAAAAAAGTTAGATTAAAATAGATTTAAAAAAGTGATAGAAACGTGATATAAGTGATATAAAAAATGATGAAAAAATATATCAAAGAGTGAAATGAAAAAAATGATATGAGACGTGATAAAAAAACGATATTAAAAAAGTGATATCAAAAAATGATTAAAAAAGATACTAAAATGTGATATTAAAGAGACATAAAAATGATAAAAAATGAGATACAAAGGGAAAAAATGTATAAAAAGATATAAAAAGGGATATGAAGTGTATTAAAAAAGTGATTAAAAAAGTTAGAAAAAAAGTGATAGAAAAAAGATAAAAAAAACTTTGCATGAGCTCAGCTCACTATTTTTGCATGTAACTAAGTTAATTTGCGCGATCTGGCCGATAGCCTCAGATAGTAACAACTTTGTCGAACCAATTCTAATGGACCACACATTGAACTGGCTTTGGTAGAGACGGTTAAAAAGCATGTGAAGCTGTGTTTAGACGCTAGCCAGTCGTTTTAGGATCTAGCTTTATTTTCCGTCGGTATGTACTTCCGGGCGAATGTTACAAAAGAAAGTGAGGGAAGAAAAGATATCCATTTTATCAGGTCTTCAGTTTAAATAACAACTAGCGGGTAACGCACCACCGGTGCTTCGAACTTTTGACAACTCAGGAAAAACCGCATATAGTGGAAACCAAATCTGCAGGCTTTTAGTGTACTCTGACAGCACCCAATTACATGGTAAGGAAAAAAATTCGTAAGTTTTCTGAAATTTATCGGAAAAATCACAAAAAAAATCGCATCTCCAAAACTACAAGAACTTGAGCAGTCATATTTGTAGGCAAGATTCGCAACCCCTGAGAGTACCCTGAAATCACACACCTACAGGATAAGGCATTTCAAATTTTGAAAACAAAATAATTTAAGTTTTCTGAAATTTTTTGAAAAATCGCAAAAAACGTCAAATCTCGAAAACAGGGATTTTAGCAGTCAAAATTGAAGACAAGACTCGCAACTCCTGAGAGTACCCTATCAGCACCCAACTACAGTGTAAAGATTTACAAACTTGAAAAAATAATAATTTAGGTTTTTTGAAAACTTTTTGAAAAAAATCACAAAAACGTCATATATTGAAAACTACAAAAATTTGAGAAGTCATAACTGGAGGCAAGGTTTGCAACCCCGGAGAGTACTCTGATAACTCTCAACTTCAGGGTTAGCAATTTCAAATTTTGAAGAAAAAAAAATCGTTAAGTTTTCTGAAAATTTTTTGGAAAATCACAATACATCATATCTCGAAAACTACAAGGACTTGAGCAGTCATATTTGGAGGCAAGGTTCGGAACTTATGAGAGTACCCTGACAGCACCCGACTAAAGGGTAAGGCATTTCAAATTTTGAAAACAAAAACTATTTTCAGTTTTTTGAAAATTTTAGTTTTAATTTAGAAACAAAAAGATATTAAAAAAAAAACAGAAAAAAGATCGAGAAGAAGGATTGAAAAATAAATCGAAAAAGGATTGAAGAAATTGAAGAAAAAAGAAAAAAGAGATTCGAAAACATATAAAAAAAACAGAAAGAAAGATCAAAAAGAAGGATAGAAAAAATTGAAAAATAAGGAACGAAAAAAAAAGATAGAAAAAAAAGAGAAAAAGGATCGAAAAAGAAGGAACGGAAAGATTGAAAAAAAAGATTGAGAAAAAGATCGATAACGAAGGATCAAAAAGACAAAAAAAAAATAGAAAATTAGATAAAGATAGAGCAAGAACTGGAGACAAACGTTTGACAGAAGTAATATTTTGAACTGAATCGTCGAAACCAAATTGGAAGTAAAAAATTAGGAGACGGGTTGACAGATATAATCAATTTAAATGAAAAAGCAGGCATACAGACAGACAGACTTAATTTGGCCTCGAAAAAAAATGACTGAAAAATTATTGACCTTGAGGAAAACTAATTGAAAATTTTCTTAAGCATTGCAATATATGATATAGCTTAAACATGAAAAAATTCTTTCGTTAAACATGCAAAATTATTATGCTTAAACATGGGAATAGCTGTCACTCGCATTCAAATATAGTATAGATAGATAGATAGATTTATTTCAGCAATCTGCGTATTACTTCAACAGGTTACGCTACGCTATTGCTGGCGCGATACTGGTGCAAGTCAAACTGATTGTCTGTCATCTCATTTTCTGTTTCATCAATTTTTAAAAAACGCGCAGTTGTTTGATTTTGATGATTTATACCGATTTCTTGATATTAAGTTTTTTTTTAATAGAAAAAACTATTTTTCTAAAATTTATGTTCAGCGCGATGCTTCGAGATCTCCAGATAACTGGAAATTTTTTAGAACAGATATAATTCCGTGAAACTGCGCCATGATAGTATTTTAAAAGTCAATTTGAACAGTTGAAAGACGCACATTTGGAGCTCTTTTTGCCTAAATTCTCATTGTCGCCCATCGTGGTGTCATCAAACGCCACACCTCTCTGTCTGTGCTCGCGTCTCTTCTCCCCTTCTGTCTCTTTTCCATCCAGGGCTTCCATGGAGTCACTGGGCAGGCTGAGCTGCACCCGGGATGCCACAGACGAGGCGGCCGGATGACTGTTGACTGTCGTCGTGGAGCTGCATGTTCGTCGAGCAGGCGTTGTAGTCATTTCGTATAGGGCACTGAGGAATGACGGTTTCTGGCTAAAACTATATACAAAATGGAACACAATAATGAGTTTCTCTATAAGTGTTTCTAAAGCAGCTACATGTCAGTCTGAAACAATAAGTAGGCGCATAAAGAGTCCTGTAACATTCGCCCGGAAGTACATATCGACGGAAAATAAAGCTAGGTTCTAAAACGACTGGCTAGCGTCTAAACACAGGTCTACATGCTCTTCACCGTCTCTGCCAAAGCCAGTTCTTTCGGTGGACTTTCGAACATCGGGTCGACGAAAAACGTTACTGTTTCCGGCTTCGATGAGAACGCTCTAATAACTTAATTACATGCAGAAAGAGTGAGCTCATGGCTGGGCCTTAGTATCCCTAGACCACGAGGTCACTCCTAAAAACAGGGCTACTACATTTTTATTATGTTACTATTGTTTTTGTTTAGTAGATGAAAATCATCATCTCTATCGAAGATAGATCAACCCTTTCCCCCAACTCCTAGCTTCTCATCTTAGCAGAAAAAATTCAGATGTTAATTAAATTCATTTCAGGACATAATAGGGAAGCTAAAAGTTTGTATAAGATGATAAAAGTTCCAGTCCCGAGACCCCTCCGGATTCTCGAATCCGGGGTAATAAGACCTTTATCTTCCTCTCGGAAGGCTGTCTTCCAACCTTCACCGTTGTTCGCAATGGCCTTGCAACTATTGTAGCGACACAATAGTTGCAACTCGGAACGGTCTCTGCTACTTCTGCAATTTGTTGTTGTTTTCCAATCACAATTCTGGTCGTTATCGCTATCGCAACTGATGTTGTTGTTGTGTTTTATTTTGGTTTTCTGCCAAAATGGTCGTTTCTGACGTTTCTCAGAAATATGACGCCATACTTCGAAAATTTAAAAAATTGAAACACCAGATTATTCTAGCCTTCACCGTTTGACTAATCGTCCCAATAACGTTTTTAATCTCTTAAAACCGTCAATTCGGAAGGTTCTCTGCTAAAAACTCGAAATTGCTGCGTCTGCATTTTGGTGTATTCTGGTCGAATGTCACATACTCCCTGGACAGTCCGGTCAATGTCCTCATTGAATCTCGCAATGTTCGTAAAATTGGCACAGTGTCATCAAACAGAATTTACAAAATGCACGAAAATACGTCTGCATCCGGATGCTCAGTGTAAATGTATAGACGTTATCGTCAATTCAGAACGTCTTCATCTAGAAACCTGCTGATTGCAGACTCTCAAGTAAGGAATCTTATTTTTCCGAATTTCAACATTTTGTCTCTACCTGGAGCTCGGACTGGCAGTGTGATCGACTTCTTGCCGGAAAAGGGTAAATACGATCTAATTGTACTTTTCATTGGTGGTAACGACGCATGCGAACGCAACGTACCATCTTCTGTCTCTGAACAGGACATAGCCAACAAGATTTCAAAATAAGCAGACGAAATATCCCTACGCGCCCCAAAAATTTTTATCCTTGGCATTAACTGAACTGCTGGTCTCCCCTCTCGGGAACCATAGATTTACATATCTGTTCCCAGCCTCAGAGTAGAAACAGTAAACCGCAGGACTCCCCTTTCGGGAACCATGGGTTTACCTATCTATTCTCCCAGTCGTTGTTATGGTCGAAAAAGCGAAAGTTGCTACTCGTTCCCGAGTAACTTCGGCTTCCGATGAAGCCTGCAAAACATGTAAATGACCAGTGCGTTGCACGTGACCCACTTTTCATCTGTATAGCTTGCTCTTGCAAAATTCACCTAACCGAAAAAAAATGTACCAATCTGAGTGCAACAGCAATAGCTGGAATAACTGATTTGAAGACAAATGTAATGCTATTGTGCAATGACTGTGTGGAGCAAAACAAACGCAATCAAATCACTTCTCTCATTGCAAAACTGGAGGTAAGTGAAACCAATCAAAGCCAAATTAGGAACATCTAGGAAGAATTGATTGAATTCAAAAATTCTCCTCTCGAAATCAAAACTGCAATGATCGAAAAATCTGATGCACCTAAAACAACGCAAGTAAATCAATCAGCAGCAACCATTCGCAAAACACCTGAAGCAACAATGGTCCCTGGGGGAATACGAGTGCGAGGAATCAAAGAATCAGACGACAGAGATCCTAAAAAGCGACAGGAACACGACTTTGCAGAAATCCAGCAGGTATTTGCCCACATTGAAGTTAACTGCAACATCAACGATTTACTGAGACTTGGACCACGAAACGATACAAAAACCCGAACAATCCTAGTCAAAGTGTCCAATCCTTGGCAGCGCCGGCTTATTCTTTCCTCGGCAAGCAAACTAAAAATGTACGACAAGCCAGTCTATCTCAGTCGTGAGCTATCACGAGAGGAAGCAACACTAAAAAATGAGGCGCTACAAAAACTTCGCGAACTTATTGACAATTGACAAAAAAGACCTCAGGATCCGCGATGGGAAACTGTTAATACGACAAGACAACAAATGGGTTGTCTATGAGGACCCAAAGGAGGGTAATGATTGACTAAACCACTACGCAACTGTTCTTTTATTCAATGTACAAAGCATCCTAGATTACAACAGAAGAGCTGACCTCTCAAAAACTCTACAAATTATTGATAACTATGATAAGTGTGTTTTACGGAAACCTTGCTCACCAAAAATTTAGACAATGCAGCGCTCTTTCTGGCGAAGTTTGATATACATAGAAGTGACCGTCCCAGTAAAAATGGTAATACTAAGCATGGAGGAGTCCTCATTGGAGTGAAAAAGAATATAGCCCACACGAGAATCATGTTTGACTCACCAGACTGTGTAATCACTATACTTCACTTCAAAATTCCCTTGTTACTCTGCTGCATGTATAGCGCACATACCTACTGCTGGTCAGCAAATAAACTGATGATACTTCTAAACCATATCAGATATGTGCAACAAGAAAACTCAGTTCGAAATGTGATATTATTAGGAGACATTAATTTCGCACTAACTGACTGGTCTACACTGACATCCCGAGCTGAGAATGAGCAGGTGTTATTGGATGCTCTCTGCAGCTTTAACTATGAACAAGCGATTAAAATCGACCATAGAAAACACTTAATGGACGTGATCTTATGCAATAATGGGATATTCTTTCTGATGTTTGCATTGATAACTTTCTGAAAAGCCACTTCGCCAGCGATCACTTGCTTTACAAGGCAAGGATTCAATTTCAGTCTAACAAATCGTTCCGTCGCGACAGACCACATGAAATTGAACTCGACTTTGCAAAGTTTGCTTATACCAAAGCCGACTGGAGAGCCATGACGATCAAATAGCTGAGGAGCCTTTCATGCCATACTGCTACAGCAATGTCGATGTAATGACTAGACTGTGGTACCAGTGGATTTATAGTATTCTAATAAAGCACATTCCCTTACAAACTAAACATCGGCTGTCCCTGGCGCCTTGGGTAACCCCCTCAACCTCTAATCTTATCAAAATCCGAGCCACATTAACTAATAATTATACTAAAAAGCCGAGCGAAGCTAACCTCAGGAAGTTGGAAAAATCGCAAACAAACCTGGCCTATGCTCTTCTGATGGATCAGCAAAACCATGAGAGAGAAATTTTCAAAGAAGGGCGTTTTAATAAACTTCAAAAATATCTGCGTAACGTTCGGCGTTCTACTACTGTGCCTAGTGAAATGTATCTTGATGGTGAAAAAGCTCGCTCCGACCAAGATAAAGCTGAACTTTTCAACCGGTTTTTCCATTCCGTCTACAGCAACATTCCATATGATTCAAACCTAGACAGTGATAATGCGACCCTCCTAAATCATTTTCATTTTAATATCATCGAAATAGAAGACATTTTAAAAAATTTTAACATAAACAAGTCAAAAGGACCTGATAGAGTGGGAAACCTGCTCTTTAAACAGCTCTGGAGCTCCATCTCAAAATCATTAATGTTACTTTTCAATACGATTGCGAACAAGCAGCAATTCCCATCTACTTGGAAAGTAAGTGAAATAGTGCCTATCCACAAGGAAAACAACAAACAGGTAGTCTCCAATTACAGGCCAATCAGTCTTCTGAATGCTACATCGAAGGTATTACAAAAACTGATGTTTGATAAAATGTACTCGAAGGTGCACAACCTGCTGCATAACTCACAACATGGTTTCAGAACGAAGCGCTCAACCATTACTAACATCATACTCTATCTCCACGAAGTTTATCAAATGTACGACAACAAGAAACTAAATAAACTTTCATCCCTGTATCTCGATTTTGAAAAGGCGTTTGATAAAGTCAACCACCTGAAACTAATTGAAAAGTTTTCTCATACCGGCTTCAGTGGCGCGTGCCTTGGTCTACTGAAAAATTATCTCAGTGATAGATACCAGCAGGTGCGAATCGGGCATTGCATCTCAAAATTACTGCCAATAACAAGTGGGGTTCCGCAGGGATCAATACTTGGCCCACTCATGTTTATTTTGTACATAAATGACCTGCCAACGGTGGCCATGTCCAACTGCTTCGGCTATGCTGGCGACTATAAAAATGTCTCAGATAACGCAATAACAATGAATATCGACTCGAATAAAATTTGGAACTGGTGCTCCAAGAATTTTATGTGTTTGAACTTAAGTAACTGCAAAATCCTTCAGTTTAAAGGTAGTATGTCTGTTTGCATGAAATAACAGAATATACCAGGAACGGATCTTATGAAAGATCTTGAACTTATAGTCACAAATAACCTGTCTTGGACGGAACACGCTAAAACTAGATCCGCTAAATCGCTAAAAACTTTCTTCTCTTTAAAAATAAACCTAGCCATTAGCTCGACCATAAGCACTAAGAAGAATTCATACAGAGGATATGTAGTTCCAATAATCAGCTATGCATCGTCTCTTTGGAAACTATCTAAGTCTGAACTGGCACTCACTGAGAAGGTTCAACATCGAGCAAGTGTCTGGATATTAGGCACAAACAAGCTTTCATATAAATCGCGTCTTCAAAGACTTCACTTACTACCACTGTCCTTATATTAAGAAATGCATGTAGTTTTACTTTTTGCTAGGATTATCAACTCAAAAACTGACATTGATTGGGAGAAGTATGTACAGATTATT